CACACAAGAGCTCCTGCCCTGCATGGGGAAGCTTGCTGCCTGCCACCGCACAACAGAGCTGCTGACCTGCATGGAGCTTCTTGCGCTGCCTGCCACTCATGAGCTGCTGCTGGCTGCCTGCCTGCATCGCGAGGGCTTGCTGCCTGCTGCCCACACAGAGCTGTGCCTGCATGGAGCTTGCTGTCGCCCACACAGAGCTACTGCCTGCATGTAGCTTGCTGCCTGCTGCCACAAAGTACTGCCTGCATGCGGAGCTTGCTGCCTGCTCGCCCACACAGAGCTGCTGCCTGCATGGAAGCTTGTGGCCTGCTTGCCACACAGAAGCTGCGTGCCTGCATGGAGCTTGTGCCTGCTGCCACACAGAGTTACCTGCTGCATGTAAGCTTGCTGCCTGCTGCCCACACAGAGCTACTGCCTGCATGGAGCTTGCTGCCTGCGCCCCACACAGAGCTGTTGCCCTGCTGGAGCTTGCTGCCGCTGCCCACACAGAGCTGCTGCCTTGCTGCCTGCATGGAGCTCTTGCTCCTTGCTGCCCACACAGAAGTACTGCCTGCATGTAGCTTGCTGCCTCATTGCGAGCTTGCTGCCTGCTGCCACACAGAGCTGCATGCCTGCCATGGAGCTTGCTGCCTGCTGCCCACTCAGACAGCTGCTGCTGCATGTGAGCTTGCTGCCTGCTGCCACACAGAGCTACTGCCTGCAGTGCGAGCTTGCTGTCCTGCTGCCACAGAGAGCTGCTGCCGGCTGCCCCACACAAGCTACTGCCTGCATGGAGCTTTGCTGCCTGTTGCCACACAGAGCTACTGCTGCATTACTTGCTGCCTGCTGCCCACCACAGGCTACTGCCGGCATGCGAGCCTTGCTGCCTGCTGCCCACACAGAGCTACGCCTGCATGTAGCTTGTGCCTCATGACGAGGCTTGCGTGCCTGCTGCCGGACTCAAGCTGCTGCCTGCTATGGAGCTTGCTGCCTGCTGCCCACACAGAGCTACTGCCGCATGGAGCTTGCTGCCTGCTGCCCACACAGAGCGCTGCCTGCATGGAGCTTGGCTGCCCCTGCTGCCCACACAGAGCTACTGCCTGCATGGAGCTTTGCTGCCGCTGCCCACACAGATGGCTACTGCTGCATGTAGCTTTGCTGCCTGCTGCCCACTACATGAGCTGCTGCTGCCTGCCTATGGAGCTCTTTGCTGCCTGACATCCCACACAGAGCTGCTGCCCTGCATTGCGATCTTTGCTGCCTGCTGCCCACTAGAGAGCTTCTGCCTGCATGTGAAGCGCTGCCTGCCTGCCCACACAGCTACGGCCTGCATGAGCTTGCTGCCTGTCCTGCCCACACAGAGTACTGCCTGCATGTTCAGCTTGCTTGCCTGCTGCCCACACAGAGCCTGCTGCTGCCTGGCATGGAGCTTTGCTGCTGCCTGCCCACACAGAGCTGCTGCCTGCCGGTATGGTCAGCCTGCTGTCTGCTGCCACACGAGCTGCTGCCTGCATGGGAGCTTGCTGCCTGCTGCCCACAGAGCTGCTGCCCTGCATGGAGCCTGCTGCCTGTGCCCACACAGCAGCTACTGCCTGCATGGGAGCTCGTGCTGCTGCCCTGCCCACACAGAGCTAACTGCTGTGGCCACACAGAGCTGCTGCCTGCATGGAGCTGCTGCCTGCCTGCCTATACAGACGCTGCTGCCTGCATGGCGAGCTTCGCCCTGCCTGCTGCCCCACACAGATGAGCTGCTGCCTGCTGCCCCTCACAGAGCTGCCTGCGCCTGCCTGGATGTAGCTGCTGCCCTGCTGCCCACACAGAGCTGCTTGCTGCTGCCGCACACAGCTGCTGCTTTGCCTGCCCACACAGAGCTGCCTGCCTGCTGGCCTGCCATGGAGCTTGCTGCCTGTTGCCACACAGAGTACTGCCTGCATGCGAGCTTGCATGCCTGCTGCCCACACAGAGTTGCTGCCTGCATGGAGCGTGCTGCCTGCTGGCCCACACAGCTGCTCTACATGTAGCTGGGCTAGGCTGCTGCCCCACACAGAGCTCTGCCTGATGGAGCTTGCCTGCCTGCTGCCCACTCAGTTAGCTGCTGCTGCTGCCTGCATGGGCTGGGCTGCCTTGCGGCCCACCAAGATGCTGCCTGCATGAGCTTGCTGCCTTGACTGCCCATCACAGGAGCCTACTGCCTGCATGGACGCTTGCTGACCTGCTGACCCACACAGCTGCTTGCCCACAAAGAGCTGCTGCCTGCCAATGGGGAGCTGCTGCCTGCTGCCACACAGAGCTGCTGCCCCACACAGAGCTGCGCTGCCGTGATGAGCTTGCTGCCTGCTGCCCACACAGGACTGCTGCTTGCATGGAGCTTGCTGCCTGTGCCCACACAGAGCTACTGCCTGCATGAGCTGCTGCTGCTGCCCACACAGAGCTACCTGCCTGCATGGAGCTTTGCTTGCTGCCTGCAAGCCCACACAGAGTCTGCTGCTGCACATGGAGCTTGCTGCTGCTGCCCACACAGAGGCTGCGGCCTGCCTGCCTGTGCCCACACGGAGCTGGCCTGCCTGCATGGAGCTTGCTGCCTGCTGCCCACACAGAGAGCTTGCTGCCTGCATGGGTTGCTGCCTGCTGCCTATACAGAGCTGCTGCCTGAAGCTTGTCTGGGCTTAGTTTATTTATTTATTAGTTGATAAATTAGACGATTTATTGTTCAATGCATTTTTTTTCAATGCATTTTTTGTATTTATTGCATTTATTGTTCAATGCATTTTTTGTTCAATGTGAATTTTTGATAAATAACTTTTTTCTAAAATAAATGAGAATTTGTGTACTTGAAATCCTAATCTTATTGTATTTGTCAGCTGTTCTGGTTTTCATTGGTTCACAACGTTTCTACTTCGCGCTCCGTCGGGATCAAACATTTTGCGTGACAACACACGTACCATACAAGCACGCGGGATAGCAGAGTTAAACGTAGGATGCTGATAACACAGGGGCCAGCATGCGACACACGGAGTTACGATCATCAACGGTAAACAAACCGCAAACAAATGATGTAGACAGCTTTGGCGAGAAGTGTGCACGTATTCGGACAAAGACAGCGACATGTTACATTTATTAATTTGGTTAAATTCTTATATTTGCAGGCTGGGATGCACAGCTGGGATGCCACAGCTGGGCATGCACAGCCCGACAATTCCGCATTCACACATACATTTATCACACGCCGACTTGCACCGCGTAGTTTATTATTACAGACTCAACGTGGGAGTTGACCACCATTGCGACCAGCTTTCAGGGCTCGGGTCTTACATACGCTCGATACCGAACAGGGAGGGCAGGGCGCACCGTTAATCAAGGGGTCCCTCTTATTCCCCACTTGAACCACTTCTCTCTGCCTCTCTGCTACATCAGTCATCCTCGTCTCTCTCTCTCTCTCCTACCTCCTCTCTCTCTCTCTTTTCTAACTGCATACTCTACGCCAGCCGTCTCTCTCTACCCCCCTCTCTCTCTACACCCCTCTTCTACCGCCTCCTCTCAATTGGACACAAAAAAACGGCCCGTTCCGGGTACTCGGACAAACCACACCTCACCCCCTCTCCTCCCGCTCCTAAACAAAGCACCCCCCGCACTCTCTCCTCTACCGCACCATCTCTCCGCTTACTGGCACGACCGCGGCGCCGGACCCCTCGCTTCCGTCTACCACCGGGGCGCGCCCCCGTCTCCTCTCTAACCCATCTACGCATACTCACCTCTACCATCGCGCCGACGCCGCAGCGCGTACTCTACTGCTACCCAGCCACTCATCTCGAATCTTACCCATCTCTCAAGCGTCGACGTCTACGCCCACCCTCGCTCTCGTACGGCCGCCCGTTCTCTCCTAAACCGCCCTCTACTCAAGTCTCCACAGCCCCTGACTCTCGGTCCTAGCGCCACAGATACCTCTCTCGTAACCCCTTTCCTTTACCCCTTTCTCTCTCTACCCCTCTCTCTCGACCCCCTCTCTCTCTACCCCCGTCTCTCTCTCTACCCCCTCTCTCTTCATACCCGCTCTTCTCGATCTCTACCGCTCTCTGATCCTACCCTCTCTCCTCTTACCCCCTCTTCTCGATCGATCTCTACTCTTCTCTGTCGTTACCCCCTCTCTCCAGATCCGTCTTCTCTTTCTCGATCTCTACCTCTCTCTGTCTATCCCCTCTCTCTCTACCCCCTCTCTCTCTACCCCCTCTCTGGCTCCTCTCTACCTCTTTCTCTTACCCCTTCTCTCTACGCCCATCTCTCTTCTTCTCCTCTCTCTCGTCTCTCTCTACTCTGCTTCTCATCTCTCTCTTTTCTCTCCTCTCTCTCTCATCTCTCCTACTCCCCTCTTCTCTCTCTCTCGTCTCTCTCTCTCCTCTCTCTCTCTTCTCTTCTCTCTCTCTTCTTACTCCTCTCTACTCTGTTTCCCCCTCTCTCTCGTCTACAACCTCTACCTCTTACCCCCCCCTCTCTCTCTCTCTCTCCCTCTCTCTCTCTCTCTGCTTTCTCTCTCTCTTTCTCTCTCTCTCTCTCCTACGCTCATCTCTCGCTCTGTGTGTCGTCTACCATCTCTACTCTCTTCTCCTCTCTCTCTCTCCTCTCTTCCTTAATACTTTTACTTGCTTTTTAAGTGTCAGTAACTAATATAGTTATATGTTTTCGAAGCCTGTTATCCTCTGTAATATGCTGCTTTGCGCCACCCTTTAGGGGACTCCCTTAGGGTGAATCAACTTACAGTTGTGCAATTTTGGAAGTCCTTAAACCAACATAACACGCGAATTCTATTAGACATTCATTCGTTTTCTGTCAGCTAGGTATACTACAGATACTCTAATAGTATAGTTAGATCCAGTATATCGATAGCATAGATATGATAAAGAAGTTAATAGAAGACAAACTTCCTTAAACGCTCTGATATGATATTCTATCGAGTCCTGCTTCTTTTACGCCTCAAACGGTAGTCGAGCCGCTTATGATAGTACAAAACAATGCCCGAAGTAAATTTACACTTCGAAATATTTCTCCACCGATTGTTGTCGTTTCTCTAGATATTTCGTGTGACAGCTTTTTTTCCAATTGCTAAAATGTCAGCAATACTGCTAGGAAGATTTGGAACTGGGTATGTATTTGACAGAGATGTCATGAGCTCATTTATATATGTATGTATGTGTGGGATTCCCACAGTGGGAATCTTCAATCGGTATATCCTTGACTCGAGTGCGGAGTCAAAGACAAAAAGCCAACGCCAAGGCAAGCTGGTGTAGTCTTGAGAGTGGAATTCATTGAAATAGCTGCGTACGATAACTTATCCGCGACTGATAAATTTATTTGCGGCCCTATTATCCTAGTTTAGCACCACGGTTTAGTTTAGCATTTATGGTAAGTATATATACACAAGGGCGGTCCAAATTTAACTAAAACTAGGAATTAGTAGGCATTGAAATTTTTCGCCATTGCTACTATTATGTTTACACATTCTTCATTTTGTCCTCAGTGCGCTGAACTGCTGCCGTATTCGTGCAGCTTTGGCACCAAGCTGCCGCTGCCCGTGTCCTCGCTGCCCGCGAGCGACCGAGTTACTCGCCGATGCAGCGGACGATGGAACCAGGCGTGCCGGCCGCCGCCCGTGCGCGCCATTCCCGGCCTTCTCGTTGCCTCCAGTCTCCTTTCCGCCTCGCACGGCGCCGCGCTACTCCGCCGACGCCGGTCCATGCTCTGCCGGCTGCGCTGTTCCCCCGCACGTCCGTCAGCTTCCTCGCGTGCGGAGGAGGCGGCGCGCTCATCGTTAGCAGGAGGACGATGGGATCGGCGAGTCGCGGCGGCGGAATGATGCTTCGCTTCCTGCGGCTGCGGTACCTGGTCCTCGGGTCGGCCGTCGGAGGTGGGGTGGCGTTGCACGAGGTAAGGATCGCGGCGTCACACGCGCATCACGTGTCACGCGGCGTGTATATATGGATAATAATAACAATACCTAAATAAATAAATAAATAATTAAATAAATAAATCACGTATACGACTCATGCGTACAAGCTGCTTAGTAAAAATAGTAACTTGTGAGCGGTAGCAGTTGTATTGTGCGTAATCATGTGTTTGGATCGAGAATTTAGGTAGTTAAGGGTGAAACTGACACTGTGACAAATAACCACTGTGTCACAATCCTATAGTTTATAGCACCCCGGCTTAGTTTAGCACACATTTGCGAAAATGAGGGCCGGAGGTCCTAAATTAGGATTCAACAAACAGTGTTAGGATTTTGCCATGGGCATTTGTAAAGTAATGAATAAATGCTCGTTCCTTGAATTGATAACTGTTTGTATGATGTATAATACTAGGCATGTTCTTTTGCGGTGAATATTAAAAATTAACTTCACGTCACGAGTTTATTAGTAGGCATTGCGTTTAAGAATCCACATGTCAAATTTTGGTACAATTATACATATATATGTGTTCCTTTCAGACATACGAGAGTTGGAAAGATAAATTACCTGATCTGAAATGGATGAAGGAGTACTTTCCAAACGAAGAACATTTAGACAGATTTACTGCAATTGCCCAGAGATTTCGACAGAAGCTCACAGAAACCAGGCTACCGGGTAATTACGTGCATGCAGTCTTCCCTAATTCACTCTAGCAGCCTGAAGGTCAACCCCTTATTCTAAGCATTATATAAGCAAACTTGTGTACAAGCACATTTGGTGTGATCCATGTGATTATAAGAAACAAAGAAAAAACACAAGCACAAGCTGTCATAACTTTATATCAACATTTTTGAGATCGCAAACTGAAATCGCCTGGGCCTAAGATAAAATATTGCTTGTTTCCCCTTTACCGACCGACTCGCCAAAACACATTTTATTGGCCGATTAAAACAAAACCAAAATTATTTCGTTTTGCCAAAAAAAAAAATCAAATTCGTTCTGCAAAAACATATGCACAAAACAGAATATACAATATACATAGACACATCTTGTCAAAACAAAATGAAATTTTTTTTTCACCTATACCTACCTACTCGGTACCCTGAGAGGCGAGTAGGTTAAGGGGAAACAAACAATTTTTTAAGGGTGGCCCTATACATTGCATACTTTTCCTCTCACGATGACCGCAACGCACGAGCGGCCGTTTTCGTCACTAGTAGTTTGCGATTTTGAGATTGTCGTCCGTTTCGTGTGCAGCTCAGCTCGTGAGCACTTCCTCATTTTCATAAAAATAAGTTTATCTCGGTTAGATCCGTAATAAGTTATAATTACTTACAACGACGAAATAAATTTTGTCGTTGTAAGTAATTATAACTTATTATGGATATAACTGAGATAAAATGATTTTTATGTGAACTATAGGAGATCCGATCGTTATTATTCATCGTTCCTCATTTTCTTCGTCGTGTTCGTTCTTTGTTAGAAGCGGAGAGCTGGCTCGAGGCGGGCAGAGAAAAGCTGTCGGGCTGGAGCGACACTTCCATGCAGCTCCTTAGGCAATTAGGAAATTTCTTGGACGACACGACGCAAGGAGACACCTCGAGAGTGTTCACAGAAGGTAGGACGGAGATTCGTCCGGACGGTGCGGCGAGGAGGGGGGGGGGTCGAACTTTGCATGTTCGGTTGGGTTGTCTCTCTCAGCTTTTTATTCTGCTTCTGTTGGTGTATGAAGTGCGGTATATGATCCGTATATATGGTCCGTTGGTGTATGAAGTGCGGTATATGATCCGTATATGGTCCGTTGGTGTATGAAGTGCGGTATATGATCCGTATATGGTTCGTTGGTGTATGAAGTGCGGTATATGATCCGTATATGATCCGTTGGTGTACAGCAGCAGCAGCCATGGCAGTTTGAAGTGTCAGTTCACAAAGCAGTGTTGGAAACAGTGGCTCATACCCCGTGGTCCGAAACTGGCAGCTTTTGAGCAGGACTGGCTAATCTTTGCGGATTTCCATATAGGTTATACAGTAGAGATAAAAACTATCGGAATCCGGAGTGGCTGGGGTTATATCAGACTTATTTCCAAGACTGGCAGAAAGCTTGCGGTTGTTAAAATCAAAATGCGTATTCGCCGCTTTCTTGCTGAATGCTTCAGTGCAAACTTCTTCTTCAGGTCTGCTTTTGGCTGCTGTTGGAAATTCGGCTCGTGGGACTGAAGGTGTGTAACATGTCAGCTTGCGTACGTGTTGATAAAGATTGGCAGTATCAGGGTTCAAATTTAAGGGGCAGCAAGCATCGGTTTTGTTGCTTATACTACGAGGGTCAGTTTACAGGGTTCGAAATTAAGAGGCAGAGAGCAGCAGTATTGCCACCTACAGGGGTCAGTTTGCTGCCTGTTTTCAATGCTGGCAGGGAATACTTGCTTCCAAGCCATTCTTATCAAACTATTGTAAAAGCACCAGGGATTCTGCCTGCATGAGTAAGTTTTCTGTACATGCCTTTTTCTCTGGCAGCAACCATTTTCTGTCTGGTGAGACTAAGAAGAAAATTTCTAGTTTACAAGCAGTAGTCGTTACATCACTAGTCTTTGTTTAATGTGCCTGTACCTTGCAGGGGTTGAGGTTACCGTATTTCCGCTTTTCCGTAGCGAGCGGGTCAGCTGCCGCAAATGCGAAGATGTCATTGTAGTTTTCTGGCAAAAAAAAAACTATAAAAAAAAATAGTTTTTTTCATCACCTATTTTTTTATTGTCTTGCTGCTATACGCTGTGTAACCTTAAAGATGGCACTCCTTAGCGTGAGAAAACACGTGAACTGGTCATTGAAAACAGCTGTTGTGCACCCTGCTATGGACTTTACGTGTAAAACCCAAAATACCCAACAGAAAAACAACATTTTGGCTGGCACTTTCAAGAATCCCTTGATTTCGACACCTGCCCTGGTTCCAAGGGCCATTCAATGGCACATCGGCTTTGTAAAATGTGAGCACGTATGTGCATACGGTCTAGTCGAAACAGGACGAGTGCATATCTCTGTTGCTATTTTGTATTTTCTCAATAGATTCCAAGGCCGGAGTGGACTTAGCGAGAGCGTCAATGAGTTTTAACCCTTTCCAGTCGAAGGGAGAGGAGCCAGATGAGGAGTACAGAGAGGTACCTATTAGTACATCACATTGATTGTTAATCACTTTATTAATTATTGTTGCTTGGGGAAAATGACCCATGCAGTAGATGTTTTAGCTGGAACTTGGTCATCCCAGTCGTCATCTGTAACGTTTCATTAATCTGTAAAATGCGATACAACTATAACATTCCACACATCTGTGATGTGGCGTGCAGCCGTAACATTGCGTTCGACCGTAACATTCTGTGCGATCGTAATGTGCTGCATGTCTGTAAAATTTGCATACGACCGTAACATTCCGTGTGACCGTAACATTGCGTCTGACCGTAACCTGCCAAACGTCTGTAACGGCTCGTGCATCCGTAACTTGTCGTACATCCGTAACTTGCCGTACATCCGTAACTTGCCGTACATCCGTAAACTACCTCATCGCCATTGTTTCGTACATCTGTAACACACCTTACATTCGTAACGTTCCATCCGAGCGTAACATTGCGTGTTGGCGAGCGTAACGTTCCGTGCGATCGTAACATTGCGTATGAGCATAACATTGCGTACAAGTGCAACATTCTATGCGAGCGTAACATTGCGTGCGAGTGAGCATAACATTACGTGCGACTGTAACATTGTGAGCGTCTGTAACATTCCGTGTGTCCGCCCGCGTTGCAGCAGACGGATCGGGAGCGGCTGGACAAGATGCAGGAGGAGATGATGCAAGTGCAGCTCAAGTACCAGCGCGAGATCGAGAAGCTGGAGAAGGAGAATCGCGAACTCAAGAAGCAGATCCTAATCAGGCAGGAGCAGCGATCGAAGACGCGTAGGAAGTACAAGGTACACGAGCATGCAGGGGCGGGGAGGGGCGAGGCGGGGGGT